AAGTGGCATTAATTCTTTCTGTATTCTTACAGCATCTTTCTTTTTTTCAAACCTTATTAAGCAAGCATTACTCTGGACATGTGGTATGTACTTTGTCACTAGAGCTTTGTCAGTAAACATTCATTAAAACAATGCCTTTCTGAACCTGATTTTATAAGGAAGCTAGTTTTTCATAGACCACATGACTCAGTTTCACAGAGCCAAGGTGGAACCCACTTAATGGAGCAAATAAATTCTGAGCTTTTTAGTTGATCAGGCAGCATCAGGGTGTAGAAAAGGGGATTGAGATCTTGGACCTTGGCAAGCATTAACAGAGATGAGCTTATCCTCCCAAGGAATGGCCACTAATAAATGGACAGAAATAGCCAGGCACAGTGGCATGTGCCTGTGGTCCCAGCTACTCAGGAGGCAGAAATGGGAAAAATCACTTGAGCCCAGGAGTTCAAGGTTAGCCTGAGCAACATAGTGAGACTCCTGTCTCTGTCTCTAAAAAAAGAAATGGATAGAAATGTCACTGGTGGAATTTAGTTCAACTAAACCTAGCCAAGCCATTCAGTTTGTCTTTGTAGTTTAAAGGACAGAGTGTGCTTTGTAGCTTCAAAGGTATCTTGTACAGAAGGTGCCAAGTCTCTGTGCCCTGGAAACATCTCTGCTATTCTAGATAATTAAACCAGAATTAGTCTGAGAACACCCTGGAAAACCAGAAGATGGTAGTTCTATTTCTGCAAAGCAGAGCATTTTGTGTGGCATTTTTTCAAGCCTTATTAAGCAAGCATTACACTGGACATGTAGTGTATACTTTGTCACTAGAGCTTTGTCAGTAAACATGCTCATTAAAACAATGCCTTTCTGAACCTGATTTCATAAGAATATTTGTTGACAACATAACTAAAGCCAGTGATCAATGGTAGTTTCAGAGTGGCCAGGTATCCAGTAGATCTTCGAAATTCTTGCACTTTTTAATGAATGGGAAAAAACACCTAGAATTTTTATTCTCAAAAAGCCTCTATGTCTATACAGAGTTTCTATATTTAATGTTCCATCAAAAACTTCCTAAGAATAATGCTTACTGTCATCACCTTACCTGTTCAGATTTGTTTATATCACTTTCAAGAGGTGTTGGCCCCTGTCCAAAAACAGAAAAGGGTATGCTGCCACTAGATGGCACTGGGACCTCCATTAGGCCACGTAGTCCAAAAAGTAAGGCTTCTTAAAAAACATGTTCACCTGAAATCCATTTGAATCTCAAAAAAAATTAGTGACTGTACATTAAGTTTATAATGAAAACAAAGTATACAGTATATTCATTGTTCTTCCCTCTATCCTTAACCTTTATCAACAACCATTGGGTGTAAAGTTGATCTTATTTATCCTTTGACCCCATTAAAATGCTACTTTTCGACTTCTCCCTGATTCCATTCTCACAGTTCACTCTTAGTAATCGAAATGCCTCGGGTTGTTTCTCCAGCAGCATGAGATTTATTTATATTGTTCAGGCAGTTAGCATGAATTACCTTAGTTTGTCATTTTAAAATCTCTAGCCAGAGTCAGTCATCCCTTCAGCCTCCTACAAAAAGCTTAATGAAAAATGACAGGCATTTTGGCTTCTAGACGCTGCAGCATGTAAATTTTCTGTGGGGCACTTCCTCCTAATCTGAGGAGAAAAACTTGCCACTCTTTTCTAAAGAGAACAAATGTAACTCCTTTATAGGATTGACTTCATGTGAGCTGGGCAGGGCTTGAAATTTAATTATGATGGCCTTTCGGCAATTATTGGATGTGAAGGCTGTGCCTGGATTTCACAGGATTCTTTTCTTTTTGCCCTTCAACACACATTGAAACCACATCTCTCAGAAAGCT